ATTAATAATTTAATTATTAAGATACATATTAATGTTAACCATATGTAATAAAATCGTACATTAAAAATATTTAAGTATAATAATATAAGATCATATTCATATATCATTTCTATACGTAGGAATTGTGTAGATAGATAATAAAACACACCATACTAAAAATATAATCAATAGTTGCACAATCAGAACCTAGTGAAAGAGAAAATCTAACAGTCTGAATAGTGAACACATGCTGTATAAATAAATTGATAAAATATATTTTACTCGCCTTTAAATCTCAAAATTTCAAATTACCTAGATTTCATCCCAACGCGATCATAGACTAGCTACTACAGGCGGAGTAATTTTACTTTTCTGAGATTATACGTTGATACCCAATAATTGGTTATTAATTTTTATTTCAATAAATTAATCGATAATTCTATTTTCATTATTTACATAAACGAAATATACTTACTTTGGTTTCCATTTTGTATTTATATATATGTATATTTTATATATTATAAAACACAACACTAAGTAAAAAAAAATGAGCCGTCGCGGGACGCCTGGCAGATGTGAAAAATCAAACATTTTTTATTTTACATTTTACATTATACAAAAATACAAAATATACCGATCAGTCATATCATCAACATTATCATTTTGTGTTATTTCCAAATGTTGTATGTTGCCTTGTTGTACATTATCTGAATTCGAATTACTTGCAATCGACTGTACATATTGCTGACTTTCCATTCTTTCTGCTTCCTCTGAATCATATTCTCTCTGCTGAACGTTTTTTTGACTTTTTCTTCTTTTTGCTTCACGTTGTTTAAGTTGTTCTCTGTGTAGTTCTCTATATTTTTGCTGACGCTCTTTTTTACGAGCACTCTTCATGTCTACACTGAAAATGTGAAAATTGAAACGAAAAGTTGAATAAAAATCAATTTATTATCAGAGCAATGAAGATAGTTATAAAATGTTACTTTTCACTGGAATTTTCGTTATGCGGTACGTGTTCTGTACTATTAAAATCTGAACAGCTTGTCGTAGGTTGGAAAGGTACATTTTGTTTACTTTTCCTTCTTTCTGCTTCAAGTTGTTTTAGTTCTTCACGGTGCTGTTCCCTGTATCGTTGTTGCCGAACTTTTTTACCAAGAGCACTGTTATAATATATATATAATATAAAACAGTATATATAAATAATATATTATAATATATTTATATCATATATAATATAATATATTTATATCATATATAATATAATATATTTAATATATTTAATATATCGATATAGAATTATTAAATAAAAGTATTTTTTCAACACGCACATGCACATTTAATGTTATTAAATTATTTAAATTAAAATTGTATTTATGAATCATGGCAGTAAATGTTGATTTATTTATTTTATTACATTTACTTTTAACTTAATATGTTATTTTGAATTATTTATAAAAATGTTTGACTTGTTTAATTAAATCTGTGATAACATTGATAACGGAAAAAATAAAAAAATGATAACACTTTGGTGCCGTAATCGATTGTATTTATAACGACCCGTCGAATACCACTTATCACATTTCGTTGACTAACCATATTAAGTCATAAACATAATTTATAACTAATATCTACTAATCTAATTAGTATTTTACTTCTTCACTATCTTGTAATATAAAGACGAAGTTATACAGGGATCATTCTTATTAAAATAAACAAACTAACCTTTGGCTCGAATCAGTAAATTGTGAATCGGGATATACATCAAAAGCACATGACGGAGACATTTCACTCCGACCTGCATTTTGGTTAACTTGAAATTTAATTATTTTTTCTGGCGGCGATGCACCGTCTCGTTCCATTATATTTGCAATATTTTCACTGTCACTGTCACTCGTATTTCATTAGAAAATATTTATCGTTATTACAACGGTCCGTTCGAAACAACATAATATAAAATATACATACACGTAACAATATAATCAACGTAATATACTATCAATTTATTTATACGCGACAATATAGGTGTACATATTATACGTTTATAAATCGTATAAAAACAGATAAGCCGGTACAGCGCACATAGAGGGGAAATCGCCGAGCTTCGGAGAATTGAGCCGACGAGCTATGTAGGAGGGGGGCGTCGCCACGGCACAGTCGGTCTCACTACTGTACCGCGCCATAAGATGTTTCACATCAAAAAAAGAATAATTAAACAGTTAACAATCCAATGTTTCTGTTAAGAATCGACTTACTCGAGTAAATGCAGATTCAACAATGTTATTATAATATTATTGACATTAAAATAAAATAATTTCTATAAATAAAATTCCGTTTATTCCGACTATTCCGTTTTTGTCAATTATTTTAGTACCATAACGTTTTTATTAGTATAATGTTTGCTATATTTAGATCGCAGACTAGATATTTCGGTATATATAGCATTATCGACAGACATAGTTGGAGGGTATAGGGGAGGACTGTTGTACAAATGTAGATGGTTGGTGGTGTATAAGGGAAATAATTATGTGTTATATGTTATGTCTTAGTGACTATCGTAAATAAAATATTCCCGTAGTCCGTCAGACCAATATTTTATTTATGTACTATAATAATAATTTCGTGTTCAGTATTTAAATTTGTATAAATTGTCATGTTTTAATGTTTATCATATTAGCAGTGAGCACGATATGTGATGATACCATAAAATAAATGTACCTATTCACAATAGGTACATTTGTTGTTAATATATGATCATACAGCATGATATCCAAAATATTAATAATCATTAAAATGTTTTTGAATAGCCCATCATTTTTGAATTGTCATAATTCTGTATTGTTGAGTTACTAATTATAATATGTTGTTTACAAATAGTTACAGTTTAAAATATATTATAATATATTATACTATTCCTGAGGCTCTAGATGATTTACAAATTTGGGATTGGATATACAATTATTTTAAAATTGTTTATAATTTTTCCAAAAAAAATTGCATAAAGTGGAGGGGCGGGCAACTTCATGTACGTATTTTTAACTAGAATATTATTTTTCATTAGTCCTTTTTTTATATCACCAGGTAATCTTTATATATAAAAGTGAAACTACACTACTATAATTATAATTTAAAATAATATATTAGTATGAAATAAAATCAATTCCGAAAAAATTAAAATATTGGCCCCAAAAATTCAAAATCGATACGACGATGTGGCGGGGTTATGTGAATTCGGCCCCACCAACTAAGGAATTCGTTTCCGGCGTAACCACGAGGTTGCAATTTTTTTCACGAAGGTTGCCTAAAGTTGCAAATTAGTTGCAAAATGTTGCAAAATGTTGGTGTATTTATCATAACATGGTGGGGCCAAATTCACGAACGTCTAAGCGTTGATATATTAACAACAAGAAAACAATTTTTAAGTATAAGAGATAAATATTACAAATTAGATAAATATTGATGTTTAACATATTTCTTAAAAAAATACATTTTTAAAATTGTTCATATTGATATTTAGTGAACGACATAACTTCAAACCCTTATATAGCATACTTTTTTGACCAAATACTTTATTAATATTTGGCAAAAGTTTATTAATATTTTGCTTATTTCTGGTATTGTGCTCGTGGTCTATAAAAGTAATTAAATGTCTATGTTTATACAGAACAGTTAGAATCGATAAATCATAATTTCATTTTAATTGTTTACTTTAATCATATTATAAATTAATGTTAGTTATCATAGGAAGACATATCTGTACGCAACAATTAATCATTGTTAAAGAAAAATGATTCTGAGCATAGTTCGGTTATAAATTTATAATACATTTTAAAAAGGTTCTCATTTATTATGATAACCTCTGGGAAAATCAAAAACTTATTATCCTAAAGTACTACCCCAGTCAAATTTCCTTTTAGATAAAATACTACACTTGGAAAATGTCTGGTAGAAAAGTTGGCTTCAATGAAGCCAACCAAATATCTGAGGCTGATTTGTCACATCTTCCTTTTGAAATTGATCGAGACTTTCCCATTAATTTTTGTACCGAACTCGTGGATAACTTACTGCCGTCCCTCATAAGGCGTGGAGTTATACGGGTGTCTAAAATAAAACCTGACTGTACAGATGGCGAGTTAATAAATTTACCTCAATATAAATTCATGGCAGTCAATGTATTTGATCCGAATTGGGTACCCGGGGAGCTGCTGCTAATTAGATATCTCCGCACTCCCGAGGAGCAAATAACGAAAACCAAACCCACGAATAATAAACTTGCAACTGATTAAATATTAAAAATCAACATATTGTATATATTTACCTAAATTATAATTGTGTATATTTAAGTATACCTATTTTTAAATTATTTTAGATTGTCTCGCCTATTTATTTTATAAAAAAAGAACTTAAACTATTATCTTTTAAAATTTAATTAGTTAGAATTTTTGTTATTTTAGTACATTTATAAAAACCATTTTATATATTTCAACTGTTATGATGTGTTATGCCACAATATTATATGCCACATTATGTATATCAATACTGTTGGATGGAATGATATTGAGAAAAATAATTTCTGCTGCATTTTTATCAAAAATAGTTATAGTTTATAATAATTATATTTCATTGAATTGTAGTTTTTTCTAAATATTGCAGGCTTTAATAAATCGTAAGTATTTTATGATACCAACAGTAACTATAAATTAATTAGATTAAAAAATGTATTTAAATATTTTGCAAATATTCTAACATCTTAATTAATTACCTTTTGAATTTTATGAAATTGAATAGTTTGCCTCATGTTAGCTGCCTTAATAATGTTTTTCAAGGAAAAATACAATAATCAATTAACTGTTTTAATAAAGAAATTTCAAATATTCCTGATGACATGACAAATATTTTTGTAAATAAATTTCTAAACATCCTCCAGATATTGAAAGTACTTAATAAATAATAAATAAATAATTCTTGAAAGTTGACTGCGTTGGAAGTATAATTATCTGTGATATTATTGTGGGGCATGTGATATAATCAAGCATGCGGTTGGCTTTCTGTTTCCTACCCTTTTGTCAGTACTAAGTTTTTGACTGCGTTCAGCCGGAATGTTGAAGCGGTGTTGGGAAACACTTTCGAATACACGTTACATGTATTGCAAGGGAAGGTTTCTCTGGATGTTGCGATTTTGGACCCAGATGGATGGGATCGCAAGGCCTGCTGCTGCTTGAAACAAGCACCAGGTAGCGTGGTTGTATGGGGACCGGGCTTTTTCATCAGCTGGCTGTCGAAAAAAACAGATGAGCCGAATACTGCGACGGAGTCGCTACATAACGAGGTGGCGGTCTGTTCGCCAGGAAAGCAAAGCATACCTACCTATGGAATTGGGCGGCATGTAATTTACATTGGAAGTATAAGACTTAATATCTATTCAAGCTCAAAGTCGTTTTGCTTTTACCAAGCATTTAACAGCAGCTAAAATTTTAAAAAATCATAAATTTGAAATAAAATTTATAAATTTATAAAAATAAATTTCCATTCAAGATTCTAAATATTACTGTTGAATGTTAATGATTCTTTGTTCTAAAACATTTAAAGACCGAGTTGGTAATATATTTTCGTGATTTTCGTACTTTATGTGGTGTAATTATTATTATAAATTACGTATTAAATAATAATATGGAAGATACATTCAAAGAAGTTTTTAAGTTACTAAAACTTTTAGTAGTCATTCCAATGTCATCTTCAGAAGCCCAAAGAAGTTTCTCAAAGTTGAAGAAAAGGATTAAAACGTGCTTGAGAAGTACCATGTGGGAAGAAATACTCGTGCTTTGACTACGTTTATTATAGAAAGTAACAGTTTTATTCAAAAAGAAAATGACGAATTTGTTAAAATAAATTTGTCGTATCGCTTTTAATAACATTATTATTATCTGATTAAATCGACTTTACCATCTCAGATTCGAATTTCGTTTTTTTTAAAACAAAAAGTAAAAACTTTGTTTTAAGCGCAGTAAACTATGCGTAATACACCGAAAATCGTGAACTTCAAAAGGCAATAATTTTAAAACTAATGATTTCCGCGAAAAACGTAGTAAAACTTTAAGAATACGTTCAGATATATAGGTTCCCGAAAATAAAAAATTTCAAGGGGGTGCTAAAGTAGATTTGTTCCTTTTCATCGAATACACACGCTGTAGCGGTACGTGGCCAGGTAAACTATTTTATTTATGCAGTATATTATTCCACCGTAGCTTGTACAGTAATGCACACTGACCCGTAATTCGTTATGGATACCGGAACGTTTTTCGGTACAACAAGTACACACTGGTACAATATTATACTACGATACCACTACGATATTAAAAACTATTAAATTATTATAATATGATAAAATAATTATTATTTTAAATTGTTTTCGGTAAGCATGTTTTCTCACTCGTACAATATTATGTTGTATACACTGCGTACAAGACCGGATTTAGAATTTGTAGGCCTCTAGACTTAGCCTGTGGTCTGGGCCCTACCAGAGGGTTTTTAGGAATTAGGAAGGGCATTCGAAAAAACAGAGGGGGCTAGAGAGACTAAGCTCCCTAATATATAAATTTTGTGTATTTACCAAAATTTAAGGTGCTAAACTTCTCCCCCTCATTAGTTTCAAAAACATGGATCGGAAATGTATCTGTAAACGTATTTATCCGCAAATAACGTACGGTGATTAAATGTTAAATAATAGTGAGGAACGTCAAACCGTCTGAAGAAACAAGACGATCTTCAAAGGTAAAATCTCCTCCACCAAAGTGAGATCTGCAGTTTCCGAAAATTTGGATTGAATTTGGGGTTTTTGTAAACCAAAAACAAATTGGTTTCTAAATGCCGTTGATAGACATGGCCCATACTTCACAACCGGTGTTGTGTACTTATGCTAACTGAGTAAATATCTGATTAAAATAATAAAGTGTTCAGGACATTAGTTAGGGACACTATCAATCGCTAAATAAAATATTTAATGGATAAAAAAGGAATGAAAATGAGACCAAGAAAAACTATATACTGTGTAAAAACCTTCAAATCTTATTTATAATATTCTAATATAGTCTAATAATTTAAGTTTTTAAGTTTTTTTAAGATTTGTTGGAGTAGGTACCTACTTATATTATTGTCGATAGAGCAGAATTTAGAATCATAATAATATTTTATTTTATTAATATTACTTGTAATATATACTATAGTTATTGATTTTGGATTTATTTGAGATATTAGAGACTATTTATTTTTTTATTGATGTATTTTTTTTCCCCGGAAAGCCCTTTTTTCGACTGTAAACACACTCAACAACTTTCAACTCGCAACTTTTATGTATAGACGCTTGGACGTGGTCGGTATATTAAGTACATAGTAGATTTTTTGGATATCGCCAATAGTTTTCTTAAGCAATGGCGAGACCATTATCGACAAATTCCGAGAAAACCTCTGTACAATTTACGGCACATCCTTTTCAACAAAATTAAATTTATAGTTTGGTATTATTATATTCTCCACTAAGAGTTATTTTTTCGAATAATTTATTGTCGTTTTCAATAATTTAAAAAAAAAAAAAAACACTTCTGTTCAGAGAAATTCTGTTTTTAATTAAATATTATAATTTATCGTGTTTATTTTTCTATACCTAGGTATAGAATCGATGTCGAAACAAACGTGGTCTTTGAGAATCGTTTTTTTTTTACAATTTAAAGCTGGGTGGTTGTTCAATATGAAAATAACTAGTTGAAATTATTGGGATATTTGACTAATGTTTATTGTTGGGTACTAGATGGGTTATACTGATTATAGGTTGTTTCTGGGTTGTTTTACGTTCGTTTCATCACTTTATATTAATATTATTATTTTACTTCATACATTATTCAATTTTTATCAGAATGTAAACAAATTTTTGATAGTATTTAATACAATTTGACAATTCAGTATATTGTCCCCATTGAAATTTTTCGACTAAATAGTGTGTTTCGTGTACAAATATAGAACGTTCATTTTACAATACATTTATACTATAGTATGTCAGTATAATCATTTTTTATAAATAGCACTAAATATTTCGGCCTGATGATTTTGGATTTAAATTAATTTGTCGGGCATATTATAATATATTCTCTTCCGAACGGAAGTGCTGAAATACACATTTCAGGTTAAATTCAAAATAATTAACTCTTTCGATGCACAATTAAGCATCAAAATTTGCATTTTCTCAAATATCTGTTTTTAATACCAGATTCGAAATTTTTTTAAGGAATAGTATAATTCCTCTATCTCGAAAGTACCTCAAGACAGAGAAGAAAACCTTAAAGTTTATAATCAAATTTAGACTGCTGAATGTATGAAATAATAGGACTTATAAGTTAAAGTTGCTGGAAAAAACATTGACTATTCGAATCTGGTGCTAAAATATTATAATAACGTGTCAGTAGAAGTAAATGTAATTTCTAATGTATACGCATACTGTAAGAGTTAAAAACTTGATATCGATTCGAAAAAAATGTTTTTCTGTACTCTCCCCACCACGTCCCAAAATCCAATGTCTCATCCGGTTGAAATTTTTACTGCTACCTGAAAAATAAACGATCACTCTGTATATTTTAAAATAATATTGGATTTTTTCATGACATATATTTTTTTTCTTTTATTCGGGTTGTTCTCCTCTTTTAGTCTATTTCCTCGTTACAAATTAATTAGGTTAATTATTCACGTAACGCTCATTAAAATTTGAAGCCCTAAAGAAAAGTGATGTCCGTGGACAGAACCGCCCTAACCACCTCTGTGAACGCCATAAATTCACCACTGTTTTTAATGAAACATAATAATATTACATAAACATTATTTCCACAATTAAAAAGTAAAAAAAAAATCCCACAAATAGAAAACTGAATAATATTCTGTAAAAATAATAATTAAAAAGTAAACAGTTAATGACACAAAGATGAGATTAATGAATAAGAAAGAAATACAGCCTGTTTGGTTTACAAATTAAAGAACGGTACCTAATGTTATTTTAAAAACGAAAAACATTTGGAAAGTTGAACTTTTTACGTTTAAGTGCATGTATATTTTAATTCAAGAATTGCTGAAAAAACAATAGTGTAGTTTCTCGAAATACACGGAACTTTAATTTTAAATAAAATGTAGAATGGGATGGGGGTAGTTTCATAAAATATAAATTGACATTTTTTTGTATTTTTTGTAAAAAATATAATTTAAATGGAGTTAAGAAATCCGTTTTTCGAATAAAAAGTACAAAATAAAGGTGTCATGCATTAATACAATATTCGCGGCTGACGGTGTAGCGATGGGGGGGGGTGTTTTGGTGATCAAACACTCCTCTTTTGACTATATTTATACAAAATTATAATTTTTACTATAATATGCAGTTATGCATACGATTTCAACAAGATGTGTTATGTGATGTATATTTTTTTATTTTTTTTTAAATTTTAATTATAACACATACAATCTGTAAATACACTTTTTACAATATGCATGTTTGAGGAATTATATAAGAAAAAAAAAAAATAAGAAAAAGGCGAGATTGACATGAAGAAGTAATCATCCAGCGGCAACACTTACTGGCTATAGAGGGCTATAACAGGTCACGGTTCCAATTACGCTTTAACTTTCTAGGTGGATTACCTGGAATGGATTTGGAGTTTAAGGCACGGATTAATGGATTAGAGTGGTTTGTAAGACGCGCGCGGAAAATTCTATAGGCATTTTTGGCTTCTTCATGGACAGTTAAACTTTTTAAGTCTGAGTGTAAGGTGTGGTTTGAAACGTACGGAGGAGTGCCTGTATGTGTGATGTATATAGATAATTATTGAGTATAATATGTGTGTTACATGTGCACAATAAAGTTACAAAGTTACATCTAAACAAAATAAATACACCCCTTTAATAAATTCTGGTTATACCACTGTTCGCAGGTGGTGCACTTCTAGACTCTGAACTTAACGAGAAATGTAATGCTTTTGTCGACCCGTTTTACACGGTGACCGACGGGAACATTAAGTTTTCGAAATTGATTGCACTCAAGTATTTTTTTTGTTAGTGAAAACTGAAATTGATTTCGCAAAATCGATTGTTATAACATTCCGTTTGACATGTATATCACGTGTAAAAGATTACGTTGGATAGGTGTTATCCATACAACCAAATTAAATTTTCTAACCTTCGTCGAAAATCGCCTATTATTTGGACTATCGTCCCGTCATCGATTGTTGCCTTCAGTTGTGGGGTTATTCAAATGTGTGGGGTAATTGGTTTTTTAAACGGAATTTTTACAGTGCTTGTATGCCTATTGTCTAATAACTCTAATATGTACCTACATCGGTTCATAAATTTTGTTTCATCATTACATTATAATATTATAATATAATAATTTTAAAATGTGCTTATTATTTTTATAATGTTATACTAGGAAAGCCTAAAAGAACACGTGCAGTGTCGCATTATTTACAATATTTTGTTTGGGATTTAAAAGCGCACAGCATGTGGTGTGTGTTAGAATCGAGTAAAACTACTGTTGAGTATTACGGGATTTTTGAAAATTTGATATTTTCTTTACCCGCTTTACTTTCATCCGTATCCGTTTATTCGCGATCTTGTTTTTCTTATGGTCCCCAGGGGGTTAAATCTCTCGGTATATCTCCTTCACTGTAACAGGCCACATATCAAACGGAATATTTAAATTTACACTAATGTCTGTTCGGAAAACCAATATACCAGTAAATACGAGATAAATATTTAAAAAAATATTTACTTATCTATACTTGACTCGTATTTATTCACGACACGTGGAATTTATTATACTAGACACACAAAATCGAATTCAATCAAAACTTGACTAAGAAAAAAAAAATTCGTTAAATTAATCATAATCAGGTATGTTGATTTTCTTTCTTCAGTAGGATACAAATATTGTCTTAAAAGTCTTTCCGGATTAACTACTTATGTAATTTATTAACTGAAGACTGTCAATTTAAAACTTATAAAACAACATTTGATCACTTGATGTCTGTAAAGTACATTTAGATGGCACTATGGAGAAATAAGTGTAGGATTAGGTTCCTCTCCTCCTAAAAAATAATGTGGATGGGGGGAGGCTTGAGAAATTCAGGTATAAAGTATTATTGATTTATTTGAAATGCTCTAGGTAAAGAAGCATTTAATTCTAAAATATAAACTATAAATAATTCTAATAAACATTTTTTAACATTAAAAATAATTATTACAATTTTTAGGCTTGCAAACTATTTTCTGAATATATTAATATAATAGACAACGAACGAGACAAAAATTGAAATCAAAATTGGTGGAGATATTGTTTCCATGATATGATTTTGTGTTGATAGCAGACAGTGAATGTAATATACAATGTGCAGTTAATGAAATGAATGAAATCCTCGGAACATCAGAAATGAAAATGAATAATCCAAAAACAAAGAATTTGGTCCTTTAGTCTGTTCTAGAGATACAAAAATAAAAGCTGATATATACAACACACATATATGGTCAAAAACTACATCAAGTAGATGAAATCATGAGCCAAATCATATCTAATGGTAAAAGTGTCCAAAAAATAAAATAATGACGTGTACTATAATCTTAATATCAAGCAGAGTCTTATTAAAACATATATTGCATGTATTCCTAACATATCATTATGGATGTGAAACATAGCTCAACAAATGATACCGGAAAGAATAAACTAGAATCCTTTAAAATGAAAGGTTGGAGGTATGAAAAGGGTAAGTTGAACAGAGAAAAAAAAATGAAGATATGTTTAGAATAGTAAAAGAAAAACGTATATTCTTGGATGTGACTAGAGCAAGGCGTTAAATAATGGTTGGACATGCCCTGACATCCTGGAGAGCTGCACGTTATAACTATAGTTGGTTTAATAGAAGGAAAAGAAAATTGTAGGACACCTGGAACTTAAAACAAGAAAAGTAATCGATTGGAATGGAGAATTGGAAATATAAACTAATTTTTGGGTTGATAAGGAAAACAAAAAATTGAATTTAATATGATATTAAGTTTAGTGCGTTTGAAAAATTTTTGTAAATGTTTGAATTGTTGTGTGTACGATTTATTATTATTTTTTTATCATAAATTAATAAAAAGTAAGTTAAAACAAAATATTTAATTTTCTTCAAGTTAATTAACGTTGTCTCGTTTACTAATATTGTTAGCATAACTTGATTATGGTTGTATTTTATAGAAAAATAGGAATTTAAATTTTACGGTATATTTTCACATACTTACTGTAAAACGTGTTACAAACGAGCGTTTAAAGTTGTAGAGTATTAAGTAAATAAATATATGTATTATACACCACTATGTTATGGATAATATATAGAATTTGTAATTTATTTAATTTCACATTTAAACAAATTTTCAAACATTATATTAATATACTAAAATATTGTACCATATATGTTCTTAATTCACCTTATACGAGTTATAAGAGATTAAAAAGTACTGGGACTATTATAACTGAGCGTCAAAGGAGTGAAAATAAAATCTTGTTTTTTTTTTTTTTTGAAAACAAATTCTCCATAAAAGTTTTATAAACATAGCTTGATGCTCAAAAGTAGCTGAAACTAGGTTTTAATAGGTGTATTAATTCATTTTTAAATTTTACCCGAGTTATATCATTTCAATCAGCCTACAAAACAACTTTAAATCTCGAATTTGAGCTCTTTCGGTTCAGAGGGAGTCGCTGGAAATGTCTAAAAGTAGTAGACAATAGATATAAATATATTATCATAGACACAGTAAAGTGCTATAGCCTCAATTTTTGTGGGAAATCCACAAAAACAATAGGGATTATTGAATATTATAACAGTATTATTATAATATAATGTGCGTTACGATCGTATAAATCATGAATAAATGGCCCCGAGTAAAATGAATAAGTCGAAATTTCATATTAAACCATATCGTCTGACCGTTATCATTTCGTTCGCCACAATATTTCACGCGATTTATTTTAATAATGTTCGCGTTCCATTTCAAATAAACGATCATATAAATAAATAAATGGGTGCCAGATAATAATATACGAGTGCACACACTCCTTTATTATTCTAACCCGAATAGTTACCCAAATAATGTTACATACCGCGATTACCAATTATTATATAATTATATTTTAACTTCATAGAAAAATATTTATTAGTAATATGAATATAGTGGATCAAGGATCTGTCCTCTCCCCAGTATTGTTTAATGTTTACACATCTGATATCATGAACACAACATCGTGGAAATTTATGTATGCAGATGACGTGGGATTAGTAACTCAAGCCGAGTCGTTTGAAAAACTGGAAGAGATACTGAATGAGGATCTATCCATAGTACAAACATATTTTAAGTCATGGCACCTTACACTCAACCCAAACAAAACTACTTCCATTGCGTTCCACCTAAATAACAGAGAATCAGATAGAAAACTAAACTTAATGGCTCAGGGAGTTTACATACAAGGAGAAGACGCCCCGAAATACTTGGGAATAAAGTTAGACAGGACTTTAACCTTCAAACAGCACTTAGAAGGAGTAAAAAACAAACTAAAAACTAGGAACAATATTATCAGTAAGCTGGCCGGAACAAACTGGAGGTGCAGGGCAAATGTCCTTCGCACTTCTGCTTTGGCTTTGGTGTATAGTGCTGGGGAATACTGTGCACCAGTATAGGGGAAGAGTGCGCACACGAAAAAAGTAGATGTGGAATTAAACAATACAATGAGAATAATATCAGGTTGTGTTCGGTCAACGAAGGTGCAGTGGCTTCCGGTACTTTCAAATATAACCCCACCAGAAATACGCAGATATGCAGCAACGAAAAAAAATATTAGAACAAATTAAAAACTCGACACGCCTCCCAGTTCATAACGACATATATGATGTGCCATTTAAACGATTGAAGTCTAGACACCCTATTTGGTCTATCGAGAGTACAACAGAGGTTCTGGAGGATTTGTGGAAGAAAATTTGAAGATGAAAACGTCGTGAATGGCCTTCTCGTCAACGATCCAACCCAGAGAGTTCCAGGTTTTGAACTCCCACGTGCGATGTGGACCGCTCTAAACCGAATTAGAACAGAACAGGGAATATATAATTTCCTTTTACATAAATGGAAAATGGTAAATACAGGTAAGTTCTACAAGAATGTGGTTTTGAATCGATATATTTATATTACTAATAAATATTTTTCAACGTGGTTGATCAGAAATTTTTTCAGCTGGACAGCCAAGTGCGTTCTTTTTACACAATTGACAGCGTTCTCCCGTTTTCTTCAGCGGAAAAGACATTGGCTGTAAACATACAATACAATTTGCAATCGTTACATACATCAAAATAATTACGGTTTTAATGTCTGATGTAAGTTTTCATAATATTGTTAAATATTCACAATGCGAACTGACTATATCTCAATGAAAGTTAAATTAACAAAAATCAAAAAAACTAGACTAGAAAAAGCGAACAAAATAGACTGATACTTTTGATAAGTGGCGTACTCGAGGTTTTTAAGTTTTGAGTGTTATTCCTATCTTTCATCACTATAATTTGTACACAGTTATTCTTTTTTATTTTTTTATGGTAAAACTTAAAAATATGTGTTGCATTGTTTATTTATTGCAACGAGTCAATTTTGTCCTAATATTATAAAGAATAAGACCAAGGTCTAATGTGAGGTGTAATGTAAAGGTCTGATTAATGCAGTCATACAGTTAACACAATTAAGAATTTAAAATGTTTGAAATTTGAATCTTAAACCATTTATATTTAATATGATACAATAATTTACATTAAGATTATTACTAGGATTATTATTTCGACATCATTAATTTTATTTAAATAACATTAACTAACTAAATGGTAATACATGCAAATTTTTAGAATAATGAATAATATATTTTAAAAAGTTTGTTATTTTAAAAATTTTAAAACGTGAACAAGTAAACATTTTTTTTTTATTTTCAGTGATTTAGGGATGAAAATAAAAATTTAATTTTTTTCAAAATTGGTATCTTCTTGACAAAAAAACAGATAAAAAACAAAAATTCCAAAAAAAATAAACCATATCATTAGTAATAATTTGTTAATTATAAGCATTCGGATAATATGTAGAACACTATATTTTTGTATTTTTAAAAAAATATTTTCATTTATTAAATTTATTAAATAGTTTACTTATATATCCAAGTATTGTTGGCTGTCAGATAAATACATTTTAATGGGGGAAAAGGGAGGTTTTAGATCCCATTCTTCTCTGTATGTGTCTATGTTCTACAGTGTTTAGTGTTTTACTATTTGGGCACATTTATCGTAATATTCTTAATACTTACATAAGAACTAGGCACTTGGTTTTTATCACGTCCGGTTCCCGTCATATCCTGTAAATTATTTAAATCTTCAGCCATAAATTTTTTTAAGTTCAATTTTTTCTGTAACATCTTTTCTTGCATTGTCTCTTCTCTTTAAAATGCACATGAGTAAAAAAAAAAATCAGAATATTACGAGGGTTTTTTTTCATAAATTAATTAGTAATACAAAATATAGTTACTCTCTTTTAATCCGATTCAATAGACGTTTCTCAAAATCAATATTTTCTTTTATTTGTTCACAATTAAGAAGACTACGTGCCATCTTTTGTTTTAGTTGATAATTCGCTAGCTCACGTTTATCACTAAATAATTGTACTTCCTTAAGTATATTTTTTAAAGGCTATAGCCTAGCGTCGTCGCGAGTTGTGTCGTGGCCTTTATATCATGTGCTTATTTACTAAATAACTAACCATTTTAACCTAAACTAGAGATGAGTTGAAATCGGCGTAATGCTGGTATTCCACAAACATAGTGTTCAAACAAAGTTTTTAAGACGTATAACATGTGTGCACTCAATAGAGCAAAAAGTCAAAATAAAAATACATGCAGCCAAAATATTGTTTATTTAGCATGCGCGTCATTTAGTATGTGAGTAGAATTCTAAATGTTTAATTTTTATGTTAACAGTATTTAGCACAACACTACAGACTTATTTTTTATACGGCCATATTACTGTTTAATTAATTAAATCTTACTATTTTATTGATTTTCCTCCGCACTTCGCTGGAATTTTATTATTAGTGTCCAAAATATTTTTAAACGTATCTGTTGTTTCGTATTTTTTTTTCATTTCTTCTTTATATGCATGTTTATCTTCGATGTCTTTATCGAGGAGGATTAAATAGTTTTCTTTTGAGCGATTTTTTGCTTCAATATTTCTCATTCTTTCGTCATGTAAACTAATTTTAATTAAAAAAATAAATAAAGTTCTCGTAGAATGCAGAAATGAAATATTATATTTTACCTTTTTATCAATTCATCTCGTATCTGATTTTCCGATTTTAAAGACGAGCACTGATTTGTTTCTTTTTTAATCTTGTTATGTTCTATTTGGTCTAACAAAGACCGTTTCAAATTGAACTTTTTTTCTTTACACATAGACTTGCTTTCGGGTCTCTAAATCAATCAACGTCACCATATTTATACTGATAATTTTTACAAGGCTATTCATTATTATAATACATAAGTATAACTTTACTATAATGGCCATCCTAGCATGGTCTTGCTCGTGTGTAGTGTTATTTGATCCATAGATTAGATATTAAATGGTACAGTATTATCAATGTTTGGAAAGAACGATTCTTTTTTTTAAGTACGAGGGACGAATTATTTTTATAACTTAATTACGCGGAACGAAACGAAAACCATTTATGCAAGAAAAAAGCTTAGACATTCGTTCCTTTTGCGCAAAAACGACAAATTAAAAATCATAAGTTTTATAATGGACACATTTCTATCTTTTATAGAATGATTGTATCAGATATATAATATTAAATATGTAATAATTATTAGAATAATGGAATTTGCCATAATGGCAATTTAATCACTGACTATAAATCTATACTACGTTGGCATCATTATAATAATGATACTTTTATGAACCCAGTCAGCAACGGTCTAGGGGTCGTCTAACTATTTACAACACAAATACAATTAAAATATAATATAATGCATTATGTATATTATTTTCCTATACAAAAATTGGAGAAATAAAATTTCGGGGGTCCCTGGGCCCCCCTTGGATTCTTCCCTGTAGGAACCTTACCAATTAACAGTTTATTTACTTCACTCAGAATTGTATTTTAATTGTAATGATTTGATGTTGAATTCAAATTATAATCTACCATTTAAATTACCTTCTATCTTAACCTATACCTTCTATACTTATCATCATAAAAAGTGGCATTTTTACATTTTCAAGAATCGAGAACGGAACGGAACTTATTCAAAGCAATTAGAAAAATAATGTGTATTAGTTATTACTGATACGATAATTCATTATCGTTATTAATATTACAAAACTTTTTTCAACGTAAAAAAAAAATAAATAATTTAAACGAGTGTTCCACTTGTGTCATCTAGCTAACCCATAATTAAATAAATAAAAAAGCTGATATAGAGGACGGGCGTGCCATTGTTGTAGTAGAAAATTGGAAAAACAGGATACAAAAATGTACTGAGTTTATATTTGAAACAAACGATAAATTACTTGAGCGAAGCTCAGTTATACATATTTTAAAACGAAGTTATTTTTATGATTATCGTCAAAATTTGATTTTAAAAACCATAAAAAATTAAAAACTACTGTATTACACCTAATTTTTTTACCTATGTGTACAGCTTCGTATTAATGTTCAAGCATTTCTGTCTGAACAGTTTTATACACATAATAACTACCAAATAAAAACTAAAATAACTTGAAATTAATGAAATTATTATTTTCTTAAACTTTCTTTGTTTTCCTAGATTTTACCTAGGGTTTCCCCTATTAGGAAAATCAAAAGGCAACTACAAGTAAAACTATCCTACATAATAACTAAACTAAAATTTAAAATAATGAACTAGTTATTGCCGTATTTTTCTTAGTTTTTATTTTATGGTTGTTTCCAATATTATTATGCAAACCACTTAGAAAATAAAAAAATGCATTTTCAATGCTTCAACTAGATTTAAAATACAGCAAAATAGGTTGCTTAGCATTTTTTTTTTATTAGTGAAAGATTTCTGGTTGTTTACGGCCAAAAAAGTAAACTAAAAAAAAAGAGAGGACACATAGTAAAACTTATACATTCCTCGATACCTACGCTAATCTTAAACAAAGTTATCAAATTATTAAACTAATTATTATTAAAAATCAAATGTCATTTAGTTTTTCTGTGTTGAATTAATAAGTAGCTTAAATATGCACTAGGATATCTCGTAATGAAAATCAAAATGAGTTGGTTATGGAAATGAAATGTTTCTATCATTTCCAAGAATAAACCTGAACTGTTTGTTTGTCTTTTCGGCTCTTTAATGTTATTCATATTTACCTAAGTAGACTTACTTGATTAAAAATACAATTTCCATAATTTTTATCTTTACGTATTCGATTGTTTTCCTTTTTAATTGCGTCTAATAGTTTATTCCCGGTAACATAATTATAATTGGATATTTCTTTCAATTGATTTTTACGTTTTTTCAAAACACTCTTTAAATATACATTTTTATCATTATAATTTATCATATGGGGATTTAAATCAATTATTTTTTTCTTAAATATATACTTCGCCATTTAATCCATTGATCGGATTATCGCCTCTCATAAAACCATTTTCATTGTTCGCAGAAGACAATATATCTGGATTCATTATATCTATGTTTGATAATCTATGTTTTCTGATACAACATGAATAGCAGAGTTGATCATCTGAAATCAAATACCAACAATTCAGACAATATTATATTAGATGCAATATTTTTGTCTGCAAATTTTACTGTTTTGTATTGGGACCAATGTAGTACCACATTGTAATTAATAATTGCTATTTTTTCCTTTCTACATTAGGTGATAAAATATTTTAAACGTGACCTACCTTTAGAATATATGTTCATTAATGTGGGTTTTTCGATTTTAATATGGTACTTATTCGTATTGTTACATTCCTCAGAATTCGGCTGAACAATTATGACATCCGGTGACGGCGATTCAGGAACCGAATTATTATTATTTGCTACTGATTTCTCTGCACACGGATTTGGACAAAGCAGCGGTTGTATTTCCGAATGTTTTAAAGACGTGCAAGATCTATTCGAAAGCCTTGACGATATCATTTTTTGCTCAGTAAGTCGATTAGACATACTTGACGTTGGTCTAAGCTGATTACAGGATTGTTCCGCGGGTGATCTAGATTTAGGACTAGGCTTTTTATCAGACTGTAACGACTGTCTGGAGTCTGGTCTACACGAAAGGTTAGATATGGAATCATTCGAGCGAACAGACGTTCTAGACATGGGTCTGGCTTTATGGTCACAGGATCGAAGAGATAATCTGGATTGTAGGCTTTTATGTTCGTCTTGTTGTGCACATAGCCTTGAGTCAGGCCTAGACGAGACCATGGATAGTCTAGATACGGGTCTAACGAACTTATCAGAATGAACCGACTCTCTGGACGTAGGTCTAGCCTGATCGGGCTGAGATTTAGGCTGGTCATTTGATTCTGTGCATAATCTGGAACCAGGTCTACTACTCGTCTGACCATTGGAATTCATGAATTCGTCAGCATTTGCAGTCCCTGGCCTGCACTTTGACATTGAAGACGTAGGCCGACTTATGGCAGACATTGCAGAACACGGTCTTTTCTATACATAAATTATGCTTTTTATTAAAATGTATTTTATGTGGTGGACCTAAAATGGATTTTTGAAAGGGTCTTACGGATTCACGTGATTGAATAGACGATCTGGACGTGGGTCGACCCTGGTTATATGAACATAGAGATTGTCTAGATGAAGGTCTATTTTGGTCACCCGGTTCTGTGCATAATCGAGAGCAAGGTCTGTGCATCTGGCTATTTAAACCCGGTAATACGCCCGCGTATCCAGTACCTGGTCTGTACTGTGATAGTGAAGACGCAGGCCGAGATATTGCAGATATTGCAGAACAAGGCCGTTTCTTAATAAATTATACATTTGATACAGTATTTTTGTTAATATGATAATGAATAATACTTTTAATTGTGCCGTTAAATTCAACAGTTTTGTTCAAAACACCGAAATCGCTTCATCAGGACGTATTTTAATTTTTTCACATTTTCAAAAACGTTTAAAAAACGAGTAGTAGATATTATATTGTATACGGAAATGACCAAAATGTGAACTAACAAAAAAATGTCAGCGTTTGATCATTCTATGTGTTTTCGTCTAATGAGCAATTTCAGTGTTTTATACTAATAAAAAAAAAACTACAATTAATACAATACTACCAATAAAATATACTTGATATTCATATTGGTCAGTGTCCCAATCAGGTTCATAATTATTGACGCTTTGATGTTTTTTTTTTTCAATTTCCATACGATTCTTCCAATTTTTGTTTTGTTTATCTAAAAACTCCTGATAAAATTTCATCGTGGCCGTTTTATTTTTTATTTGTAATTTCCCAATTTTTGAAAAAGGAAGTTCACAATCTCTTTCTTCGAATAATAATCTACGAAAAGCTACCACGACTTCTTTAAAACAATCGGTAACCATATTTACATTTAATTTATAATCTTGAGCAACCGATGATAAACTTAAATAGTATTCACGTATCTAAAATAAGTAAAAAGTTTTAAATATTAAGAAAATACCTACTGAAAACTTAAGAGGAAATACGATTTATACTTATATTGCACGAATATTTGAATAACACTATAAAATTTACGTGATGAATTTTTTCAGTTATAAAATAAATCGTACAAAAATAATAAATATATGCACATTGAATGAGAGAGAAATTTAATTGTCTATTACTTATCCGATTATGAATTGTCGAGGGTTTGTTTATTTATTTAGTATTTTAAGCCGTTATTGATACTTAATAATTTTAATATACTCACTTTGCCCGTATTATATGCCTTGTTTCTGCTCAAATTGTAATCATTTACTAGTTTCTTATCGACTACGAACACCGGTTTTCTGATGGTATTTGCATATCCTTGGCCAATCTCCCATTGAGCCAAAGTGAAATAACCAATTCCTTTTATTAATACACCCTGCCGAACAGAATTAATACAACAATATACTATTGAGTGGACATCGTCATGAACGGATTTCTGTTCCTAAACAGGATTCTTCCGGAATGAAATATTTCTGTATCGTATAACCACCCCCCTCTTTCTCAAGATAAAATGTATCATTGTTGATTATTATTATTATTTAATAAACACAAATTTCTAAGTTTCAAAAATTAATTAAAATTGTACAAGTTATTATTATTTATTAAAACACCAATTTTAAAAAGACTGACATATTTTGCTCGTTTTGTGGGCCACCATTATAGGTGAGAAGTTGGGAAGGTTGGATATAGAGGAGAATCTAATGTATATTTGTAATCAAAAATTAATCATTGATAACGAAAAACGATTATCAGTAAAGTTTCTTTTATACTTTTTCCCAGTTATTATGAAAAGCAGAACAATTTCAGAAAAAGTGTTACACACTTGATGTATCAGAGCAAGATTTCTGGTAGGAAAGTAACTCAAAAAAAAAAATAAAAATAATTTTAAGATATTTTAAGTGCAACCTTAATTTATTTCATATTATTTTTGACAGTTGCATCAGCTGAAAGACCGTTTCCTAAATCGAAACTCATAAAAAATTACCTAGGAAACTTAATGAGTTAAGGTCGACTATCAAACATTACTATTTAAAAAAAAAAAAAAAAACTAACTTTAATATGATTAAAACTTCAATGTGCAATCTTTCTTGCATGATTAATAATATGTATATATATATATATATATATATATATTTGTTACATCATAATATAATTTGTATTATTTATTATTTTTAATAGATAGACGGAATAGTTATGATTTGTAAACTATGTAAATTATTCATAAACTACACTATTCATTTTACATCATGGTTTCTAGTTCTTATCTTATTATTATTAAATTACATATTAATAGTAAGTATTTTAATACATATACCTATATAGGTATAAAATTAAGTACCAAGTAATTCTTGTTTCTAGAGCACCATAGATTGTAGTTGCGCCACTGATTATATGACATATGATTAAGTTAAAAATATTATAATGTTTCAAATAATTTTTAAAATTATTATAATTTTACTGTGCAATAGAAATAGATAATTAATGGAACTAAAAGTAAATATTTATATATTTATTGATCGTATCAGTAAATGTTTCTGTCCTATAAAATAATAAAATGGTATTCACGTATTTATTATAGGTATTATTTTCGTTTGGTCGCAAGCGGGAATAAATCTAAGTAAGTATATATAAATATTTACTTTATCTTGAACTAGTTTATTTTCAATCCATTTAGATATACAGTCCCACGTTTTTATTACATCTGGAAATATAAAAAGTAATAACTGTAATTTTCAGTTGTCATGATATAAAAAAAGTTCATTTAAAAATATTAAAATAATAAATTTCCGAAAAAAAAAACCATTCTTCGGAAAATTAAAAATCTCAATATTACGCATAAAATAAACTAAGTGTAAAAAATTTAATTAAAATTACTTGAATACTTTACACGATGGGTGGGCCACTCTTTTAGGTGAGAAGTTGGGAAGGTAAAGGAAAATGTTTAATATATATCAGTACGTAAAGATTAAAAATTTTCAATTAAAAGTGATCCCGACCGGAATGGCCTTAAAGGACCTAATATTTACGATTTTAAAATAATACATTTTATAAATTTTTCCGTTTTTTCTACATTTTTCCTACGTTTTTACATTTTATATTTAAACTCCTGGGAAAACAAAAAAAATGACGTCTACAACGTACCACCTCAGTTAAATTTCCTTTCAGAAAATCTGTTAACAGAAAAAAAAAAAACATCGTTTTAAAATCAATAATTACATTCCTTGCTCCATTCAGAATCTAAAATGGAGAAAAAATTTGTATTTTTTTTAGTTTTTAGCACTTAATTAATGAAGCAAAATAATATCATATCTGGTATTATGAGTGTGTTAAATTAGCTTCAACTTTGCCAAAATAACTTCTGAATAGTGTCAATATTTTGCAAGTAATTAGTAGAAATTTGCTAGTCCATTCCAGTAACCTACAAGTTGATAACAATGAAGTTATCAGAAGTTAAACCAAAACAGAAATAATTTTACGCAGTCATGTTGCCCTAGACATATACGTAGATATGTCCTAGAAATTTCAAACTGATGTTAAAATATTCGTTATAAAAAAATTTTTATCGGCGGATGAACCAAAAAAATTGTTGTTTCACTCCTAAAAATAAAGGTGATCAAAAATAATGGCAATATAACACTTTATAGAGGTACTTGTTTCTTAAATTTTCATCAAAAAAAATCGCATGAAATTTAATTTAAGTTGATTTTAAAAAATTACTTTTTGAGATATTACAATGGGTACAATATCTTCAAAGGATATTCGCGATATTAATGATAATGTAAAGTACATAATCAGCAAGATTTCAAACTGATTTTAAGTAGGTAATAGATAGTATTTATGCATTATCAATATTATTATTATTATTCATTAAATAGGTTACCTTATTTGTTAATTTATTAGGAAAAAACATTTTTTTCTATAAGAACCTTTTTATTGGAGGGAAATTTTCAATGCAACGAAATTTTCCTAATTTTTCTGAAAAATCTGAAAACCTGAGTTTTCGGACATTTCAAACCCTAGTTTTAATGTATAGGTATTATTAATTTACCAATAAAAACACCAATTTCATACTTTAATAGAAACCTACCTTTAGCTGAGTATTCCTTGCCTATTTTTGTTTTGAAGTTCTCCATAGTTTTTTTTACAACTCCATCACGGAGTACATCGGAATCACGCAAGGCCATAGTCACAATAATTCACAGTAATTTTATTAAATTAGTTAAACATTTAATAGTTACATTTAGTTAAAAAGGTGTTTATAATAACAAAATAATTGCTAGGAATTCCGTATGTATGAATTTATAATATATTAAGTAGCCACTATCTATTATAGTATGTATCCACCTATACAGAGAATACATATTATTTAACATTAGTTTTAAAATTAAACATATGTTTTGTTAAAATATTTTATTTCTATTAAAATGTAATTAAAAAAAAAAAAAAAAAAAACATATTTAATTGTAAAATTTAACAATAAAATAAATATAAAAAACTAGTCATAATCTCGTCTTTTTTTAAAGATTTAAAGATTCGTTATATATTTTCGTATACACGCAACATGGTGCACTTACATTAAAGGTGGCCTATTTACGGGAGAAGAAGGGGCAACTAAGATAAATCTCCCTCTTGACCTTTTTTTTTTATATCTTTTAGTGTGACTATGTACCTATTCTAAAAAGTTCAAATTTCTTTATTTTTTAATCAGAAAAAGACAGTGTTGTAGGTGAGAAGTTAGGAAGGTAGTAGAGGGGGAATTTAATATATATATCTAAAAGCGACGATAAACCATTGCTAACTAAAAACGATACTGAAAGGCGTTTAATGCATAGTGTGTCTTGTCGACAATATATATGCCATATTATGTTAAAATAATTACATAGGCATTATATGATTTCTTCAGTAATATTTGTTTAATATTATACCTATTTTCCAGTTTTTCCTACGGTTTTCCCGTGTTTTTCCCGAATTTTCCCGTTCTACAGCAGTAGTTCCCAATTAGCATTGAGCCACGGACCCCTAGTTAAAACTTAAATTGAACTGGGGACCCCTTATTTATGAATACTTACTTTTCAATATTTTTTAATTATAAAAATGAAAAAGAAAAATTATATGATTTATTTTAATTTTTCATAAGTACCTTTTTGTAATAATATAAACATTATAAACCTCGATTTTCTCAAAAAATACAATACAAAGAGATTATTTGATTTAACACATGACTTTACATACAATATTACTACCTAACCATACAAACTACCTTTTCCAATTTAATTATGAGTTACTTAAATTTGTTATTAAAATTAATTTTCAAACTTTATGAAACGAGTGAAGAAACCTTTCTTTTTTGTTCATAATCTCGTCAGTTTGTTTTTGTTTTTGCTGTTTTCGATGTTTCATGTTCTTTAATGTTCGATCAATATGCCCCCAATCATTATAACCGTCTGATGTTATTTGATTTTTGAACTAACAAAAAGTTTTAAATAAAAACAAAAAATTTTGTTCTATGAAATAAAATATACAAGCCACCTCCTTAATACAAATTCTTCATCAGTGAGATATCGTTTATTACTAATTGCTGTAAATCGACGATTATTTTCATCATAAGGAAACACAAAATTATCATCCAGTGGAGGAGTTGACCTCTTTTTACAACCATAACTTTTAAATTATTATTCATAGGAGGCCAATTAGCCGGGTCGGTACTGATGACGAATTGTTCATCTTGAACTCTAACCGTATCGAAGGTGGACGAAATCGTTGTAGAACATCTATTTCGTTTTCGATACTAAGGAGTATTACTATTTTTTAAAATTCATTAGTTTGATGTAAATCGTGTTTTTAAAATAGCTTTGTTGGTTTGTATTATATGTTTTGCTTTGTCTGGACAGGGAAGAGTTTGTAATGCAGAAAAAAGCCGTTCCACAAGAACATTAATTTTTTTTTTTTTTACTAAAACTACTTTTTGTGTTTTACCGACGGCGGTAGATACGCGAAATATACAACGTACACCAGAGTACCATACCCATAGTTCGCGCGGCACAATCACAACACGTTCCGCCGTCGGTACTCCCACCACCCGGTCGCCGCCGGACGGACAGTTTAAATTCCGACGCCCGGCCGGTCGAACATTCATTCGCGACCATTTTTCTGACGTGTTCGCACGTCGCGTGATCACCGGCATCGGTTAATACGCCGCAACAGCTCGCATTAGGCACCGCCGTGGAACGATTCACCGACAACGGCCTTAATGTCGATTCTCACTGGCCCGGTCCGACATTCGGATAAATATTATCAATATTATATTATCTTACTGATTCTATTTCGGAAAAACATTGCTGTGAACAATTCTCTCAGAGTTCCCGGACGGGTTTGCCAAATAAACACCGGCCCAGACACATCATGACAATAATAACTTAATATTGAATATTAACTGTTAAAACTTTTACAATTAATAGTTTTACATTAACCGTGGATTACCGAAAAACCGATACAGTTGGTTCGCCGACACCCAGGTTTTTATGTCCTGAGTAATGGCAAATTCATTATTTATTTACTATTTAGTACTTGAAACCTATTTGCTTTGAGTATTATTAAGTTTATAACAAAGAAAACACGTCGCGGACCGGCATATGATTAAGTAACAATACTAGCCGTTTAGGGTTTTACCTCAAAAAATCAAAAACTTTTTTGTTTTTTCATAGGTCTGAATGCAGATTCGTGTATTAAAATAATGAAATGTTCAATAAAAAATAACTATATATATATAAAATATTACATTAGAGGTTTAATAATGTTAAGACTACACGAATATAAAATAAGTACAATAATTTCAGTAAAAATTAATAAGAGCGTTGTTCTAGTTCTGTTCTGACAATTTTATCTATTCTTGGTTACACCGAAGTAGTCAAAGCCAAGCGTACATCAAGCTTATACCTGGCTTTAGTTTTTATGTGGGTCGTTCTGGAAAATCCAGCTTCACGTCAATACGTAGAAGAAAATGGAAGTAAAATTGTTTAACAAACAACTAGAATGCACGTAACGTTGCAATCAAAATCAATGAAATATACTATCATACAATCATCAACCCGAAACAAATATCACGATAATAGGATAAATGTTAGGTACTGATAAGTATATTTTACTTTTGTCCATGGACGGTGTAACCTTAAACAATACATTGGAAATATAATTTTTTCAATGCAATACAGTACCCTATTAATTGTGGACCGGCAGTTGAGAACCACTGGTCCAGACCGATTTACATTACTTTGTTACAATTATTTACCATTTCAATAAATTCTAGATTCTCCATTCACTATCCGTATACGCCCGCGTCTTCTTTTATTATTAATTATAGCAATCAATACGTTTGCTGCGTGCATTGATACTTATGAAATAAAACAAAAAAAGAACTTAAAGGAAGACGGGGATAGGTTTTTAAACAATGATAATGACTTATTATAGGATTTTAATCGTGGACCAGCGGTTGAAAACCACATCGACTTTCGACGATCTACATTACTTTTTCATAATTATTTACCATTTAAATTAATTCTAGATTCTCCATTGGCTATCCGTATACGCCCCCGTCTTCTTTTATTATTAAAATTGTTTGGTTACTTTGCAACTTTAGTATTCAAAGCATTAGATTTTACACAATTGACAAGTTTTATTGCCAAATTCAAAACGGAATTTAGTGATTCATGTAGTATTGCAAGCCAAATTTTGATGATCACTCTTTGTTCGGTTAATCCGTCCATTTTCATTTCGACAAAAGAAAAAACTAAACACTAAAACTACACGTGTGCTGTTTGTGTAATTATGTCTCGACGATCGGCCGGTAACTGTCGCATTATCAGTAGTTGTAAAGTGTGCCCAGAATAGTACGATGCCGTACTTTGACCCATCGACTGCTGTAGATAACCAGTTCGCGTATTTATCGGACATACTGTAAATACCGATGAGTATTTACAACCATATTACGAAAGTTCTGCAACCTCGAGGGTATTCACTGTGGAGATTCACCCAAAACTGTTGAGCGACACTTCTTTAAATTTTAGTTGCAGCGTACGATCGTTTTTTAGTTCCAC